CTGTTGATGGTTGAACTATTTTCCTGATAATGTTCCAGTACTGGCCCTTGAGAATCCCAGAAAACTGAGCATCAGTTTTCCAGCCGATGGTCGACTTTTGAACTTGTTCTCGGTCAGCAATTGAATATGTTTCCTTTCCATACTCTGCTGTTTACGCTCAGGCTCTTAGTGATGAGTCCATATAAGAGTATGGACAAATTGTGAGTCTCCCTCGTAGATGCTTCTGTCCTTACAAATATAAGCTCAGCCTGTGTTGGAAATGATGCATTTGTCTTTTCTAAAAATTGATCAGTTCTTTGAATCTCAAAATAGAAAATTTTTTGTTAGATAATGTATATCCTAGAATTATGTACACCAAAATCCACTGCCATCACCATCAAATCCATTTCAAATGTATAGACAAAGATTAGGAGGCAAAGTGAAAATATGGACTCTGGAATCCCACCAACTTGGCTGTGCTACTTTGTAACCTTGGGGAAAGAAGATACTTAAAATGTAAGTTTCCTCATACAGTGTACACCAGGTCTCCTTTGGTGTTGTGAGGTTTAACTCTAACAGGTACAACACTGCATGGCATGGCAGATAGATAACTAAATGTTCCTTTTCTAGCATCATCACTGTTCCCACCTCACCACTAGTACCATTATTTCAAGACATATACTTTGGATTGTGATTATGCAGTTATAGTTGTTGCTACGCGCTGTTGAGTTGTTTCTGACTCATAGCAACACTGTATAGGATTTTTCTTGAGCAGCTGGTGAGTTTGAACAGCCGACACTATGGCTCAAACCCACCTTCCAGTCTAGTGCTTATCCTATAACACCATACCAGGCCTCTGGATTTATAGTGGTGGTTATGCGCTGTCATATTTTAAAACCTCAAATTAGCTGGTAAGATACATATTATATTTTGGTCACATACTGAATAGCTTGTGTTTATCTTATGGTGTCATCATGGCTCCTTGCTAAGTGCCACCAAGTCAACTCTGACTCACAGCAACCCTGTATAGGGTTTCTAAAGAGCGGCTGGTGGGTTTGAACTGCTGATCTTGAACTTCAAACCGACCTTGTGGTCCAGTGCATTATCCTACAGCACCACAGCAGGACTCCTCCACTATTCCTTAGAATCTAATATGTTGTTGCTTGTTAAGTGTCGTGAGTTGGTTCCCACCCATAGTGACCCTGCATAGGGTTAGTAAGGTACAGCATCATGAGCTTGAACCACCGACCTTACAGTTCAAACCAACTTTGCAGTCCATCACATTAATCCACAGTGCCACATCTGGAGTCTACAACCTAATATAAGTATATATGTATATCTCCGTACAGTTGGGAATTATCTTTCAAAATGTAAATGACTAACAGAGCTGTCTTGGTTTAGGTTTCTAAGAGAGGGCACCGTGAAAGCCCTTTTACTTTGGTATATCTTCCCTGTCTGGAATGGATTACTAGGAACTTGCTAACTACTTGTCAGTTGTTCAGGCCCATTTAGTTGGTTCTGACTCAGCCACCTTGTGTAAGGTTTCCAAGGAGCAGCTGATAGGTTTCAACTGCTGATGTTGGAGTTAACAATCCAGTGCTTATCCTGCAACGCCACACCAGTCATGGTTAACTGTCATCGAGACAGAATTGACCCAGTATAGGGTTTTCAAGGAGTGAATGGTGATTTTGAGCCACCAACCTGTGGTTTAAACCAACCTTGCAGTCCTGCGCTTATCCTACAGTGCCAGTCCAGTGCTTATCCTGAAATACGTCAGTTGTTAGCTAGGTAAGTAACACCATGAAACAAGTAGATTGCAGTGTAAATTGCATTGATATAGCATCAAAAGTAAACGATTTATTTTGAAGAACTCCTTTGCAACAACTGTGATGTCTGGATGGTAGTGGTGTGGTGGTTGTGTGCTGTGGAGTCAGTTTTGACTCATAGCTACCCTGCATAGGATTTCCAAGACTGTGAATCTTAACAGGAGCAGGAAACCTCATCTTTCTCCTGTGGAACAGCTGGTAGTTTCAAACTGCTGACCTTGAGACTTGCAGCTCATCTTGTAATCACTACGCTATCAGAGCTCCTTGATGTCAACTCCTGGATAAGTAACCTTCCCCCCTCAACAAACAAAGCATTGCTTTTGAGTTGAATTCTAACTTAACGACCCTATAGGGCAGAGTACACTGTCCCGAAAGGTTTCCAAGGCTGTAACCTTTATGGAAAGGAGCTCCAGTAGCGTAGTGGTTACAAATCGGGCTGCTAACCTCAAGGTCAGCAGTTTGAAACTACCAGCTGTTCCGCGGGAGAAAGAAGAGGCTTTGTGCTCCCGTAAAGGTTTACAGCTTTGGAAACCCTGCGCAGGGTTGCTATGGGTCAGAACTGACTCGACGACACATAACAACAATTTTTATGGAAGCAGGCTGCTACATCTGTCTTCTGCAGAATGGTTGGTGGGTTAAAATTGCTGACTTTTCCATTAACAGCCAAGTGGGTAGCCACTGCGCCACCAGGGCACCACTTGAATAATGAGCACTGAACTGCACACCAAAAGGTCGGCGATTCAAACTCACCAGCTGCTCATTGGAAATCCTTTACCGGGTCACTGAATCATAGCCGACTGGACGACACTTAATGACAACAAAAGTTAGGTAAGAACTAAAGGAGTGCTTGCTGGTGGCACTGTAGAGTAAGTGGTGTGGTGAACAGTTAACCACAAGTATCGGCAGGCAGTTCTAGCCCACCAGTTAGTTCCTCCAGGGAAAAAAGAGACTTTTTGCTCCTTTAAAGAAACCTTATATATGGTCTCACTGTTAGTTGGACAAAATAAACAGTATTATCATTTATCCTACTCATAAGCGTCTCAGAAAAAGAGAGCTACACTGTTTGGATTTAAAAAAAACAACAACATGTTTTTATAATGAGAACTTTTTTCCCAATTATGAAGATAGTAAATGTGCTCCTTGTATGAAAATTCGAACATTAAAAAAAAAAACTGTAGTAGTGAACTATTATGTATTTACTATATATCAATCAGGTACTGTCTTAGGTGTTTTGTGTCTGTTGACTCAATGAGGCTGCTATCCTCCTTTTACATGTGAGGAAATGGAGAAGTTAAAAGGTTAACATGCCATACTCAAGGTCTCCTTGCTCATAAATGGCAGCCTGGATTTTAACCAGTGTGGCTTCTTTATACTATGCTTGAACTCCTGGTGTGGTGCTACACAGGCTATGAGAACCAATTAGCACTTAACAAGAAGAATTCTATTAATGTGTCAGTGAAAAGGAAAACTGAGGGTGACTTGACCATATGCTTTATCCATTTGTATCCAAAGGCACCATCCTCCCATACAAAATATTGCAAATTTAGTTACATAAAAAGGATAACTTACCATGACCAGGATCCCTGGTGTGGCACTGTAGGATAAGCACTGGACTGCTAACTGAAATTTCAGCCGTTCAAACCTACCAGCCACTCCTCAGAAACCCTAGAGACAGATCACTGTAAGTTAGAACTAATTCGATGGCACTTAACAACATCATCATGACTAAGTGCCATAATTTTATCTTAAGAATACAAAGTTGGGTTAATATTTAAAAATCAATATAAATTTCACATCTTAAATAAAAATTTACTAACATGATTAAAGATAAGTTTGTTCCCTTTCTCCTTTGAATTTGCCACTCTAGGTTCCTAAATTCTGCAGTGACATTGGTAAGTGCTTTCTAAAGGAGACAGTTTAGCTATTCAAGAAATTTGCCCTTAATAGCCAGGATTTGTGGTAATAGAAGTATAAGGAAAGCTCCCTTAAATGCCACCTTGTTAATCCTCTCTTCTGAAGCCGAGAGAGGCTACAATGTTCCCAAGGTCCTACAATTAGACCATCTATGACTCGATGGTACTTAACAACAAACAGCATATTAGGTTCTAAGGAGCCATGGAGAAGTCCTGCTGTGGTGCTGCAGGATAATGGACTGGAATTCAAGGTCGGTTTGAAGCTCAAGATCAGAAGTTCAAACCCACCAGCTGCTCCTTAGAAACAACTACCACCACAGTGTGCTAAAGAGTAAGCACTGAGCACTTAACCATAAGATTAGCAATCAAACCCACCACCTGTGACCCTAGATAGGGTCACTATCAGTTGGAACTGACTAAAACAGCACTTAACAACAAAAGATAATTTTTTCATTTATTTTTTTTTTTAAGTGGGTGAAAAATTCATGTGTAGATGGGGCAGAAATATATTCCCTTTGCCCAGTTGGAGACTGGCAGTAATGAAACTGCGTTACTGATGATCGTCTGAACTCTGCTACAGCGTGAACTCTCATTTTGAGATTATCTCCTCAAGTTCTAATATAGCACGTACTAAGGAATTAGCAAATAAAATTAATTACACTGCTTTCAAAACCTTCATTTGACCATTAAAATATTCTTAACATAAATGCCTCTATTTGTCCTCTTTGGTCCTAGAAAAATCTAGTTCATTTTGCTGTTACTTCTAATTGCCCTCTTTGCACTTCAGGTTAAATCAACTTCTTCCCTTCCTCAATCACTTGAACCAATTGCTGAGGTCCTGTTCTTACTTTGGGCTGGTGTAAATAATAAGGCAGATACCATAAATAAGCATGCCATTGTGTTACATATTTTAAATATTCTTGAGTGTGTATGGAGGTTCACCACTGAAGGGGTTTGCAAAAGGGTAGTTGAGATGATAAGACAGGAGTGTTGTGTTTAAGCAGTGAAACTTTTTGTCATGATGTCAAATTGAAGTCTCAGTATAGAGGGGCCTTCAAAAAGTTGGTGGGAATATGGAATTAATAGATAATGGAATGTTTCTACTAACTTTTTGAAGCAAGTTCCCTTATGTAAGAGGTAAAATCCCCTTTCTTCAGATGTTTGGACTTTAAAGAGGTTAAGTGACTTATCCAGGTTCACACAGATAAGCATTGACAGAACTAGTATTTGGACTTTTCCCAATGGTTTTTAAATTGAATTCATTTGTTTGCTTTTCCAACAGTGAAAAGGAAGAAGATGATAGTGAAAAGAGAGAAGATCCAGGTGATAACTGGGAAGAAGGTGGTGGCGGTAGCAGCGGTGGTATAGAGAAATCTTCAGGTCCCTGGAATAAAACCGCTCCAGTACAAGCACCTCCTGCTCCAGTAATTGGTAAGCTTGTTGTTTCCATTCCAAAAGATGTCTAACTTTTGTGTAGTTTTACACATCGTCAGCTTTCCACTACATGCATGCTTATGATGGGGCTCCTTTTTCTTCCCGAAGAGAAGTAGATTTGTATAGGTCTCTCTGTAAAGGCGTTTGAATTCTAAATGAAGAAGAATTTGTAAGTTAAAGCTAAAATTTATAAACTCCTGGTGTGGCACTGCAGGATAATGCGCTGGGCCTCAAGGTCAGTTTGAACCATGGGGTCAGTGGTTCAAACTCACCAGCCGTTCTTCGGAAACCCTATCAAGAGTCGCTGTGAGTTGAAACCCACTTGACAGAACTTAAAAACAATAGCCAAAAAAAAAAGGTTTGTGTTTACTAGAATCCAAGATAATGTTAAGATTTTTAGTAATAATTACCAAAGGTCTGATTTAACTCACATTTTTCATAGGAGAGGATATTGACGTTCTTAGAACTTTTACCTTGGTAAAATATTTTTGACAGCCAACTGAGGAATACTGGGCTCCTTTGTATTTCCCTCACCTCCGATTGTTTCCTCCCTTCCCGTTTTATTCTTAATGTCTTAAAGCATACATTCTCAACAGGGCTAAAAGGAGGTGAAAATTCGTTAGGGGGAGGGGTAGCTGTGCTTATTTCAGTGGTTCTTATCTCTACAAAGTTTCAAAGTGTAGAAACAGATACACAACATATCTGTGGTACTGGAGTTGGTGGTGATTAGGGAGAAAATTATGTCTTTTAAAAAGAGCCTAAAGTTCCATAGGAAGACTATAACGAAAAAACTTAGAGCTACACTAATGTATTTATTACTTATTATTCAGAGATCATTGTTAACATAAATATGTTAACATTTTTGCATCCTTTCTAGTCTGTGTGTATATTTTCCCCCAAAATATTATTTATGACAGTCGGGATGACAGGTTTTTTGGGGTGAGTCCTTAGGAGTAAGGAGTTAGGTTTAAGACTATGGCTAGGCCTAGGGCTTCATTTAATATTAGAATTATGTTTAGGGGTAGAGTTAGTGAGTGGTTGGGCCAGGGCTAGGTTTAAGGCCTTGTCCGCTTTAGGGTTTCAGGTAGGTTTATTTTGTTCTTGAAATCTACTTGATTATCTCTCCATTTGTAAATTCTGTAACTATATTTTCTCTTTCTGCTTTATGGTTTTGTTGTGGTTGCGAACTGGTAATTCTGGTTCCCTGTTTTCAGTCTTATAGGTGTGTTTTACTCTGAATGCTTCTCTATCTGAGTTAAGTCTATATGATACTGTCATGTATGTTAGTCTCAGGTTGTTGTCTGCTATTTCTAGTTCTCTCTTCAGAAAATACTCTTAATTTTTTTTGTGAGGTTGATCTGGTTTTTACAAATGCTTTTAATTTCTGTTTATTTGGAACTGTCCTAATTATGCTGTAGTATTTGATGGACATTTCTGCTAGACCCTTGGTGTGGTGCTGTGGGTTAATGTGCTGGACTGCGAGGTTGGTGGTTCAAACTTACTAGCTGCTCCTTGGAAGCCTTATACAGGGTTGCTATGAGTCGCAGTCGACTCAGTGGCACTTAACAACAACAACATGATACTTGCTGGACAATTTTTTCTTTCAGAATTTTACATGTCATCTCATTGTCTTCTTGCCTGCATGGCATCTGCTGAGAAATCAGAAGCTAGTTTTATCAGTCCTTCTTTGTAGTTTAACTTTCAATTTTCTTGAGCTACTCTCAGGAATCTTTCCTTATCATTTTTTTTTTTTTAAGTTTGATTAATTTATATGTATGTATTGGAGATTTTCTTTTGGGGTCTGTTGATGTTGTTTAGAGTTCATTCAACTTCTTGAATGGCTTTCTTCTCATCTTTCATGATCTTAGGGAAGTTTTCTTCCAATAACTCTTTTTTTTTTTTTAATTAAATGTTTTTATTTTGGATTGAGTGAAAGTTTACAGGGCACATCATCAGCTTCACATTCAACCATTCATATAGCTTGTTTCATTACATTGATTATTATCCCCTCCATATATCATCAGTTAACAGTGTTTCTCTCTATCCTCTTTAGCTTTTTATTTTTTTTTGGATGGGGGGACACTTGCCTTTTTGGAATTTACAGTCTCGGCTTTTAGGGAAGGTTTTTACATTTGTCTGTGGATATCCAGGGCTCATGTATGAGATTACTAACAAGCATTACTGAATAATCAGATGAGGGACAGTTTGCTATGTCTACTAGGTAGCTAAAGTCTGATCCTCAGAGCCTATGGTTTGGACGGTCAACAATGCTTTCTTCCAATAACTCTTGGACAAATTTCTGTATGTGTTTTTTTTCTCTCACTCTCTCTTCTGGAGTTGTAATAAAATGTAAGTTAATTCCTCATGAGTATGCCACATGTAAATTTTAGGCTTTCTTTGGATTAAAAGGTGTTTTTTTTTCTGATTGTTCCATTGCTAGATGCCATTGAGTTGGTTCCAACTCATGGCAACCCTGTGCACAACATAATGAAACACTGTCCAGTCCTGTACCATTTTCACAGTTGTTAGTTTGAGCACAATTGCTATTAATTTGTGGCTGCCTCCTCTGTATCATTCCATTAAGGGTCATCCTCTTTTTTGTTAACTCTCCACTTTACCAAGTATTATGTCCTTCTTCAGGGACTTGTTCCCTCCTCCTGACAACATGTTCCAAAGAATGAGAGGCTAAATCTGTCAGCCTGGTTTCGAAGGAGCATTCTGGCTATACTTCTAAGACAGATTTATTTGTTCTTCTGGCAGTCCATACATAGTATTTTCAGTATTCTTCTCTGACATCATAAATCAAATGCTTCGATTCTTCTATGATTCCTTATTCAGTTTCCAATTTATATCTTTGTTTCCAGTAAGCACTGTTGTGTCATCTGCATATCACATGTTGCTAATGAGTTTTCCTTAAATTCTGATGACACATTCTTCACATAATTTTGCTTCTGAGATTATTTGCTCAGCATACAGATTTATTAAATAAGTATGGTAAAGGAATACAACCTCAGCACGTATGTTTCCTGATTTTAAACCACACGATATCCCCTTGTTCTGTTTGAATGACTGCTTCTTGGTCTATATATATAGGTTCCTCGTGAGCACAATTAAGTATTCCAGAATACTCATTTCCACCAATGTTGTTCATAGCTTATTATGATCCACACAATCGAAAGCCTTTGTGTAGTCAATAAAGCCACAGGTAAACATCTTTCTGGTATTCTTTGCTTTCAGCCAAGATCCATCTGGTGTTAGCAATGATACCTGCAGTTCCTTGTCAGTGTAGTGTTGTTGCAGCTGTTTTTTTCTTTAGCAAAATTTTACTTGCGTGTGGTATTAATGATCTTTTCTGACGATTTCCACATTCCATTAAATCGCCTCTCTTTGGAATGGGTACAAATATGGATCTCTTCCAGTCAGTTGGCCCAGGTACCTGTCTTCCAAATTTCTTGCCATAGATGAGTGAGTGCCTCCAGTGCAACATCAGTTTGTTGAAAGTTTTCAGTTGTATTCCATTAATTTCCGGTGCATTGTTCTTTGCCAATGCCTTAGTGTGCCTTGGACTTTCTTTAGTACCATTGACGTTTTATCATATGCTATCTCTTGAAATAGTTGTACATCGAGCATTTCTTTTTGTTTCATTGACTATATTCCTTCCATCTTCTTTTGATGCCATCTGCATCAATGAATATTTTGCCTATTGTTGTTGTTGTTAAGTGCCATTGAGTTAGTTCTGACTCATAGCGACCCCGTATAGGGTTTGATAGGAGCAGCAAGTAAGCTTGAATCCTTGAGATATGCTGATCTTGTGCTTCCTTTTTGATTTTCTAACTGCAGATGCCACTTATAATATTTGACTTTGTTGTCTTGAGATGCCCATTGAAATTTTATATTCATCTCTTTGACCTTCTCATTTCTTTCATTTGCTTTAGCTTCTCTACACTGGAGAGCAAGTTTCAGAGTCTCTTTTGATATCCGATTTGGTCCTTTTCTTCCTTGTCAGCTTAATGACCGTTTGCATTCTTCCTATATGATGTTCTTGATGTCATCCACAAATCTTTTGGTTTTCGGTCTTTAATGTGTAATGCATCAAATCTGTTCTTTAGATGATCTCTAAATTCAGGTGGGATATGTTCATGGTCATATTTTGGCTCTCATGGACTTGTTTTAGTTGTCTTCAGTTTCATCCTGAACTTGGATATAAGCAACTGATGGTCTTTTCCACAGTCTGCCCTGGCCTTGTTTTGGCTGATGGTATGGAGCTTTCCCATGGTCTATTCCCAGAGTTGTGTAGTCAGTTTGATTGCTGGGTATTCCATGGCACGGTTCACATGTATTGTCTTTTATGTTGTTTTAAAAAGGTTTTTGGAATGAAGAAGTCATTGGTCTTGCAAAATTCTATCAAAATTCTTCATTGTTTCTATCACCGTGGCATATTTGCCCAACAACTGAGCCTTCCTCTTTGTTTACAACCTTTGCAATCCACTTGCCAGGAATTACAAATACTTCTTGATTACATGTTTGATCAATTTCAGACTGAATAAGTTGGTTGTTCATTTTTATCATCTCTGGCTTTAGGGGTTGGTGTATAAATTTGGGTAATAGTTGTATTAATTGGCATTGTAAGCGTATGGATATCATCCTATCACAGATTGTATCACAGACTGCATTGCACTTTTAGATAGATCTTAAAATGTTCTTTTTGATGCTGAATGTGATGCTATTGCTCTTCAATTTGTCATTTCCAGCAGAGTTAACCTTCTGGTTGTTAGATTTTAAATGAGCAATACCAGTCCATTTCAGCTCATATGCCTAGGATATCAATGTTGATGTGTTCCATTTCATTTTTGGCAATTTCCAGTTTTCCTAGATTCTTACTTTGTACTTTCCATGTTCTGATAATTGATGGATGTTTACAACTATTTCTTCTGATTTTGAATTGTGCCCTATCAGCAAATGATGGTCCAGAAAATTTTACTCCATTCACATCATCAGGGTTATCTCTACTTTTAGAAGGCAGCTCTTCTTCCCCAGTTGTATTCTGACTGCCTTCCAAGCTGAGGGGCTCATCTTCTATTACTATATCTGACAGTATTCTATTGCTCTTCATCATATTTCAATATTGAATATTCTAGTGCTGTCTGATGGTGTTCCACAACTATTCATTAGATTTTCAGTGAATAAATAGTCGGATGTGGTCCATCTCTCTTTTTTCCTAGTCTGCCTTAGTCTGGAAGCTCAGTTGAAACCTGTCCACCATGGGTGACCTACTGGTATTTAAAATACCAGTGGTATACCTTCCAGAATCACAGCAACACGCAAGCCACCACAGTACAGCAAGCTGACAGATGAGAGTTGGTTTAAATAAATACAGACATTTTAGTAAGTAAGAGCATATAGCAGCATAGTTAATCCACCAGGTAAATAGTGCTTATCCACATTTATGATAGGTAAACTGTGGGCAAAAGTTATTTTGTGAAGGCAGGCCCAAGGAGACCTGTCTCTAGGTCCATCAGATTATTTTTCCACTCTGTGTTCACTACTCAGTTGCTTGGCTTATAGAACTCGCATGCTGTTGTGAAGTGTTGTCAAGTCAGTTCCGACCCATAGCGACCCTGTATAGGATTTCCTAGGAGCAGCTGGTGAGCTTAAACTGCCAACTGCAGTTTGTGGGAAAATGGAATTTAAAGAGAATGAACATTTTCTACAAACTTTTAAAAATAGGCTCATATATAATTTAAATGGTATATGGAAGAGGAATTAGGACACTGCTCTAGAATGATAGGATATTCTCATTTAGAGGTATTTCCTCATAACCTTTCCATTTATTTTCTGACCCAGGGACCGTTCTTATGTTGAGTATTGTTCTTGTTTCTTTTTCTGTAATTGCTGAATGATTGAAAATGTAGGAATAGCATATTAAAATGTCCAGCATTTGAATAGGTTCTCTAAAGTGTTGTGAATTATTAGTTACAGAAACCCCAGAACCGGCAATGACTAGTGGTGTGTATAGGCCTCCTGGGGCCAGGTTAACCACAACAAGGAAAACACCACAAGGACCACCAGAAACCTACAGCCACACACACTTCCCTTCCCTGCAGTCCACTGCCAAGCATGTAGAAAGCCGGAAGTAAGTATTATTATAATTTTTGCATTTTGTTTTGGAGCTCTGTCTTCCCTTTGGCCAGGGAGTAAGATATAGGGGCTGTGAAAACTTGCCTAAGGGAATAATTTCTTAGTGGTAAAGCAGCAGGGAGCAGCTGACAGGCAACTAAGAATTACCATGTGCTTTAATATATGCCCAAGAGGGAAGAAAGGGACAAAGGCCCTGGAAAAGCTGAGCTGTAAAATAGTTTCTTTTGTCACCCCTGGTTTATGTTTTGTTTGTACCTGTGAAAATCTGTTCATTTAAGATTGAAAGTGCTCTTTTGCTGGTTTCTGTTTCTTACAGTATGGAAATTCTAGAACTATAAGAGCAGTGTTTTATTGCAGTCCCAGTCAATGGGAATAGATAAGATGTTGGCATTTATCATTCTAACATTAAAATCTTATTTCAGCAGGTACTTAAAATGAATGCTACCTGGAATTAAATGACCACATATGGCACACCCACATCTTAGGGACATGAATTTTAAAAATAAATAAAATAGGAAGAAATGTAAATGACATCAGATTGGTAATACTGTTTCATTTGGGTAGGTTTAAAAGTAAATCCCACTCTTCGAGAGCACAGCTGGCTTGAATTTAAGTCTCCACCTGGACTTGCTCCTTGGCTCCACCTGCAGGGGTCTGAGAGGCTTCAGGGAGAGAGCAGTGACCAACCCATCACACTCACCTGTCTTTTCCTGGTCTGCTCTACCCACTTCTACTAAATACAAGTGAGGAGAAATCATTGGATAATGACTAGAACTTTAATCGACTGAGAATAGTGTTACCCTTTATGAATAAGAAAGAGATTCTTGCTTACCAAAAGGGAACATCAGTCTTAGGGAATCACTGTTGTTTATTAGTCAGCTTTTTAACTTTCTAGTTGGTTCTAAAATAGGTTTGCAGTTAAAATGTCTCAATAATTTGCTATCATGGAGACTAGGACCTAAAAGTGTCACACAGTATTCTTACATTAGATTGAAGCTTTGTAAGGATTATGTATATATATATATATATACACACACACCCACACACACCACTTCTCCCTTTCTTTCCCTCCCCCAAGATTCTTCTATGGGGTGGGGGTTTTTTTGTTTTGTTTTTTTATGTATTTTCACTTTAAGGAAGAATATTTTCTAAACCACTTAGTGAAGAAGAAATATTTACTGATTACATTTCTTTTCCCATAGGGATAAAGAAATGGAGAAGAGCTTTGAAGTAGTAAGACACAAAAATAGAGGTAGGGATGAGGTTTCAAAAAACCAGGCCCTTAAACTTCAGCTAGACAACCAGTATGCTGTGCTTGAAAATCAGAACAGCAGCCACACACAGTACAATTAAGGAATGGTCCTTGCTAACCCCACTAAGGTAACTGAACTGAAGCTAACCACCATGAACAGCCACTCATCCTCTGATCTCTGTTGGATCGACAGCAACTGATAATGCAGACCACTTGATGTAAATGAGCGGCTCTATTGCACTTATGGAAGTTTAAAGTGTCACAACTGCTCTTTATGTATGTTGGAATTAGGGAAATTTTTCATTGTTGTATAAATGTTGTGAACTAGCTTCAGCACTGTTCTTTCATAATTACTCTGCAAATACAAAACAAAAAATCTACAGTCAGTGGTCATTTCAAAATCTTTTTATGTTCAGATACTGAGCCTTCGTAAGGGTTGACTACCTCAGATTTGCTGCACTCATTGTGGACTTCATGTGGATCACAACTTCTGGATAAGAAGGTTATAGCTATTAAGTGTTGATGTGAAACTTGAAACCAGCTCTACTGGATTCCAATCAGAAATCCTGCAGAAAGTCAGCCATCTGGGTTCTGATCTGCTGTAAAAGACGAAGATTTAAGTGACCTTAATTAACCTGTCCTGTGCCCCACCCTTAAGGAGTACTTTCTGTAGTAGGCTGTGGCTGTATTAGACTTCCTGGAGCATGCCACTCTCAAAAGAACGGATGTGTTCAGGTAGTCTGTGTAGGGCTGTGATTTATAATTTAAACTTAAAAGTTGTATTCTGAGGTAATGACAAATTTAATACAACCAGATTTCACCAAGTGGGGAAGGGGATAGGGAGGGGATTAATCTTGTTTCTTTTAGTAATTTCTCATTTGGGTAGTGCTTTTTCTATGTTCTACAAATTAGGCCTGTTTTTTTGTGGGGGTTTTTTTTTTTTTTTTTGCTTTGACTTGGAATATGTTTTTTGACAGAGTATACTGTTTGGTTAAGCAACCTGAAATATGCGTTAGGATTGTGAAACGCTTGGTGAATTTGCCAACCCCTAGAATGGAACCAAAAAGCCTTTGATATAAAGGACAGTGGATGCTGGGGGCTCTACATCAGGTGCTGGCTGCTAAAGCCTCTAATCAGGTCTAAATCGTGTAGTAAATGGCAGGCTAGAGGATTCATACCTGTCCTTAGAAATTCCAAGCAATGTGAGCTGACCCTTGCCTAAAGACCCATTTTAGGTTCATGAATCTTGTGTGATCTTTCATAAGAATTCCAGATCATATTTGTGCCCACATTTTTAAGGTTCTGGACAGTCTGTAGATGCAGCGACTGTCACAGCTAACGCTGTTATCAACCTCTGGTGTGTCTTTATGTTGTCCATTTGGGGGGTCGGGGCAAAAGACAGGTGATGTAGCACTTCTGTTTTTAATAATCAGAGCAGACACACCGTCCAGTCATTTTTTAGTCCTTAAAAGGGACTTGAGGAAAGCTACCCAGGGTTATTGATAAGTTTCTCCCATCTAATGACCTATTCTGATAATTTGTAGTTTTGCTTTATTTGGTTCAATAGAAAATTTTCAAAGTGGTATGTGACCACTTGATGCAGAGTCTGGGTTTCTCTATAATAAATCCCTTTGCCAAATGCTGGAGTTGCAGACTTGCTGCTGGCAAGAGTGAAGCAAATAGGTGAGTCAAACTATACTGATGATCATCGATAGGGTCATGGAGCGTTTTCCTTTAGGAGGTCAATCTAGGTGAAAGTTGTTGGTGCAGGAGCTGGACTCTTAGGAGGGTTACAGTGTCTCCTGACAGGACCTGCTAACCAGTTTGGGGCAATAATGTTGCTTTCTATTGTATTTGGATGAATAGCTGAGCCAAGGAGAGGTTGGATGATTCAAAGAGAAACAAGGAATTCATGGTTAAACTGAAGACTTCATTTGGGAACCAAAAACCTTAACATGAAAATAGTATCCCTGAAAAGTATGTGTCCTTTCTAGTAAAATCTTACTGGGGGTTATATTCCTGAGGAATGAACTGAGACAAATATGGGGAGGTGTTATTTAATGGCACATTATATACTACAAATCTTAAGACCTGTAGCAGATTGAAAATTCCAACTCCTGTTAAAACTTTTTAAAAGATTGTGAAATTATCAAAATGCACATGAATCAAGTTTTATATACTTATCCTGTATGATGGGTAGATGAGGCTGTCCATTGTACCATTTCTTTCTTTGAATTCTCAGGCATGGTTTTGGCAATGCAAGAACTCTGTAACAGAAACAAATCCAATAAAAAGGAAATATATGGATTTTGGTGTGTAGTAGTTTTCATTCTAAAACCTTAATCTGTATTCTATCTTTGAAAATGCTGAATTGATGTCATGCCTCCTTTGCTGTGGGAAGGTGATAAATACTACCATCTTGGGAATGTATTTTCAGTTCGAGACATGTTTGTAGAGCACTCTGTTAAAAAGACTGAAACTGAGAATGAACATGACTACAAAACTGTGATGAACATCCAGTTCTTTTCCAAAGGTAAGGCAGACATTGAAATGTGCTTTTGTCATCACTGCTCTATTCAAATTTGTTATTTTGAACCATTGTTGTTGTTGTTAAGTGCCGTCCAGCCAGTTCTGACTCACAGCAGCCCTGGATAGTTTCCGCGGAGCGGCTGGTGAGTTTGAATCACTTGCCTTGCAGTTCAAACTGACCTTTAGGTCAAAACCATGGCAAGGAAGAAATATATTCTCTACTCTGAAGACTAAAGATTTTTTACTTTAGTCCTTGAAAAACTTGTAAATTTCCTAAATTAGCTATTATTTTGGAAATGGAGCTTAGGCGTTTGGTGTTAACACATCAAAACGTAATCACTAAATACTCAAATTTTCAAAGATCCAATTCTCATAAACTTTTTCTCCCTCATAAACTTTTAAAGTGCTCAGTTAAGTAGCTTTTATTCGGCTCACAGTATTATGCATCCGTAACTACTACCCAGTTCCGGAACGTTTTCATCATCCCCTCCCCCCAAATTCCAGTTACTCACTCCCTTTCCTCCAAGTCCCCAAGCTTTGGTCATGGTGATGGTTGTATGCTGTGGAATCAGCTCTTTGTAGGGTTTCTGAGGCTGTAAATCTTTAAGAGCAGAAAGCCTCATCTTTCTCTTGCAGAGTGGTAGCATATGATCAAGAACCAGTAGCACTGAAGGAAGAAGTCCAAGCTGCAGTGAAGTCATTGGCGAAAAACAAAGCTCCAGGAATTGATGGTATACCAACTAAAATGTTTCACAAGCAGATGCAGCTCTGAAAGCAATCAATTGTCTGTCAAAAATCTAGACGACAGCTATCTGGCCATCTGATTGGAAGAGATCCGTATTTGTGCCTATTCCAAAGAAAGGTGGCCCAACGGAATGTGAAAATCATTATCAATATCACATGCAAGCAAAAATTTGCTGAAAATAATTCAAACAATGGTAGCAGCAATGCATCTATCTACAGGGAACTGCCAGAAATTCAAACCAGTTTCAGAATAGGATGTGGAATGAGAGATTGCTGACCTCAGATGCATCTTGGCTGAAAGTAGGGACTACCAGAAAGATGTTTACTTGTGCTTTATTTACTGGATCATTGTTAACAATGGTATCCCCAGCTATTGATAACATTGTGAAGGTTGGGTGTACAGAGGTCCAAGAGGCACTTGTTTGAAACAGAACAAGGGGATACTGAATGGTTTATAATTAGGAAAGGTGTGTATCAGGGTTATATCCTTAGCCATCGTATTAGTGGGCTGAGTGATTAATCTGAGCAGCTGGATTATACAAAGAGCGTGTTAGTATTAGAAGAAGATTAACAGCCTGCAGTACGCAGATGACAGAACTTGTTTTAAAGCGTTCAAGAGCAAAGATGTCAGTTTGAGGAACAAGGTGAATATGACCCAAGGAAGCCATGGTATTTCCAATCGCTTCATGCGTGTGCAAGTTGGACAATGGATAAAGATCATAGAAGAACCGGTGCTTTTAAATTACAGTATTGGCAAAGAACACTGAAGGTACCATAGACTGCTGGAAGAACAAATCTGTTTTGGAAGAATGTTCCTTGAAAGTGAGGATGGTGAGATTTTGTTCCATAGTTTGGGCATATTTCAGAAGGGGTCAGTCCCTGGAGAAGGACGTCATGCTTGGTAAAATGGAAGGTCAACAAAAGAGAGGAAGACACCCAACAAGATGGATTAACACAGAGGGAACAACAATGGGCTCAAGTGTGACAATTCTAAGGATGGTACAGGACCGGTCAGTTTTCATTCTGTTATGGATAGGGTTGCTATGAGTCAGAACTGACCGGGTGGCACCTAATGATACCAACAATTTTACCCTTTTCACACCTTGTTTTAAATGTGGGGGGTAGAATTTATTTTTTTTTTTTAAAGGAATGTTTTATAAAGGAAAAACTTAAATAATATGCAACAGTCTAGAGAATAGAAACTTGCTTAAAATCAGATAGCCTGTCAATCTTAAAGGGTCTCTGATTACTTGTATCTGTAGTTGGTTTATTGCTTGAAATACTTGGGGGGGGGGTGTTTCGAAATTTTGTGGGAAAAATCCATTATCTTTTCATTACATTTTCCACATTCTTGAGGTCCCATGGCATTTAATCTTTTAATTCTTTTAATTTCTGTTGTCTTTTCCTTGCCCTTTAGATGAAGAAACCTGGTCATTTACCTTGTAGCATTTTCCACATTCTGGGTTTAGCTGATAGCTTTCCTACATTTTCTACAAATGGTGTGTCATTTTATATTAATGCTTAGAAGTTGTGTGGCATTGTAGGATCAGCGCTGGACTGCTAACTGCCAGGTCTGTGGTTCAAACCCCTCAGGTAATCCTTGGAAACCCTATACAAGGTCACTTGAGGGCAGTTTACAACAAACTAGTTGTTAATGTAATGTTTCAGGACCTTGTGGACGTTTCTCCTTTGCCAGTAGAGGGCATTGGAGGACCACTGAAGCAGAACCAAGAAGAAATGGCGTCCTGCCTTTTGGTCCACGTGGCAGCCAGGAGATTGACACTGTGGGGTTTATTACGTTCACCTGGGCAGCCCTCATGATTTAGTG